TACAGTTAGTTATAATCTTCTTCCTTTTGCATTTCCTAACTTTAAAATTAATACCTAATTATACTAATTACTCTCTATAATAATAGCCTGCTTTATAAGGTTATTACTAAGCACCTTTCCTAACTTTATAAGCCCTTCTTAAAGTCTATATTTATTTATATTATATATCCTTAATAGTATAATCCCTAATTCTTTAATAATTAATAATAATATATTATAAAAGCATTAAAGGAAGATAGGAGTAATATTATTAAAATAAATAGCTTCTAAATATATAAATAGCTTTATTTTAATATCTATATAGCATTATAAGAATCTATCTAGCTAGTTATACCTAATTATAATTCTAATTATATTAGGGTTTATAATCCTATTAGTAAGATTATATAGCTTACTTCTTAAAAGGGCACGCCTATAATGCTTTTTATACCTTAAAAAGTTAGTAATTTCCTTTTCTTATATAGGTAATAATAATTAATAGCTTTCCTAACCTTTTTAAGCTATCTAGGCGCCTTTTAATTAACTATAAAGTATAAACTTGTTTTTCCTATATAAGGTTATATAATAATATAAAGATTTGCCATTCTTTAGCCTTTCTTAAATTTCTTTAAGATTAATTTATTAAGCTTCTTTAGGAGTTACTATAGTGAAAATTTGGAATTTTTCTAATATTATTTAATAGTATTTTAGGGAGAATTATAATTAGGGAGTTAGGAAATTACAGTTATAGGGAGTATGCAGAAGGTGGGGGTGCGCGGAATGTGGGTACGCGATACTAAGATAATATAGCTATAAGACATTGCTAATAGCTTAGTGTTTAAGGGCCTTATTGTATTAAGGACTGCTTATAATTTAGTAAATTATATACTTTCTATTTATATACTAGCCCCTATTATTATTACTTTTATAAAATTATATTATTTTTATTTATATATACTAGTTAGTTTTTAAATGCTATTACTGCTTCTGCCCCTTATTAGGGGTTTAATAGCAGAAAGTTATTAAAATAAGGTAATCTTTCTTTTTTAAGTCTTTATATTTACTTTAAGTATATTAAGCTTACCGCTTTTGCTATTTATCTTATTATAGTATTATAAAATGCAGCTATAGAATTATTAATAAATCTTTAACTTTTTATTAACTATAAGGTATATATAGTTATTTACTATAGAAAAGAGTGCTAATCTGCCTTATTAATTACTAGCTTTTATATACTAGCTTTTATATTATAACCTATCTTTATAAAAAGTATTATATTTTAAAAGATATAAGGAAAGGACTTATAAAGATTTAAAATTTATTTTAAGTTTATTAAGCCCTAACCTTATTTAGCCTTAAAAAGATAGATTTACTAAGTATTTATATTTATATACTTATAATAGTTTTTATTATAATAGGGGGTATAACTTTTATATTACTAGCTTTTAGCTAATTAAATAATATTTCTCTAACTAATAAATATAAGGAAAATATTTATATTTTAATAAATTATAATCCTCTAAAGATCTTAATTTTCTTTTTTATTATATATATTTATAAATATAAGTAAGTAGCCTAAGTTAATAATACTAAATTATTAAATATAATAAAATCTAGCAATAACTTATTAGCAATAAGGAAGTTTAAAATTATTTTAAATTAATATATAAATATAAACTATAACTTAAGTAACCTAAACTACTACTTAACCCTCCTAGACTAGCTTACCCTAAGTCCTTAAAGTTAATATTTACTAAAAAAGAACTATAGCTAGAAAGGATAGGCTAGGAAGATATATATTAAGAAATAAACTATATAATGCTTTTTAAGTTAATTAAAATACCTTATTAAAAGGCTAGCTATTTAGCTAGGATATATCTACCTTATTAATAAAGTAATGCTAAGTTAGGTAAACTTAAAAGTATAGATAATAAGTATAAAATTACTATAATCCTTAAATTATTTAATAAGATAATAGATTAATATAAAGAAATAATAAAAAAGACTAATTAAGGATTACTTTATTAGCTTTAAAGTAATTAGCCTTTTATATATTATTTAAAGCCTTTTATATTTATTAATTATAACTTTATAATAAAAGAATACTAACTTCTTTTTAAATAATACCTTATCCTAGTTATTTAGGCTTATTACATTAATCTAATTAAATATACTAAACTATTTAGGGCTTAATTAAGCAGAAAACAGGTATATTACCTTAATTTAATATAATATTATATCTATTAAGATAAGATAAACAGCACAGCAAGTACTTAAAAGAAGGCAGGTAAACCTTATGCTATTAAGAAAGTATATAATAAGATTATAAAAAAAGAAGAAAAAGAGAAAGAAGAAGAAGAGGATAAGTATTAGGATAGGGATTTTAATACAGTAACTAAGGGAGTCTAGAATAATAAGGATATAAATATTAAAATAACAAATAGCAAGGATAATATAAATAATAATAACTATAATACTTTTAGTAATAAGGAAGATTATAAAGACTTAAATAAAGCTAGTAAAGGCATAAAAACTTTAAATAACTTAGTAAGGCATTATAATTTTATAATAATAAAGGCTAAAGAATATAATATATTAGTCTAAGCAGGCCACTTTAAGGAGCTACTATAATATATATTTAAATTAAGTATTTCTCTTTATACTTAGTTTTTAATTAATAGGTAACTTAGCTTTATAATTTTAATATTTATTAATAGTATCTAAAGTTTCTCTCTTAGTTTAAATATATTTCTACCTACTTGCTCTTATATTAGCTATCTTTTTAGCTTAATATATATTTAATATCTTATCTTCCTTAAATATACTTTACCTCTTTAAGATTATCTTATACTTAGTATTACTTAATAACTATATACTTACTAACTTAAATAGCTTAAGGTTATATAAAAGGCTTATATAGTTATTAAGGCATAGTTAGTATTTAAAGAGATAATAAGCCTTTAGAACTATAGCTAGGTTATAGCTTAATTAGATCCTTTAACCTTCCTTCTTTAATAAAGTAATAATACTTAAACTGTTTTTTATAGAGATACCTTATAGGTTATTATAAGTAACTTCTACTATCTTCTATAATACTTTATTAATAAAGTAAAGAGCCTTTATAATAATATAATATTTAATTAAAAACTTACTATTAATCTTTTTAAACTAAAAGATAATATAATAAATATATTATATAGCTTTTTATTTATATAATATCTTAATAACTAATTACAGGCAGTATATTTTAAGTTACTAAATAAAGCCTATATAATACACTACTATAGCCTTTACTAAAATAGCTTATAAAATCATAAAGCAGTTTATATATATATAAAAAAGGATAATTCTCTTTAAGTATCTTTTACAGGCTCTTTATAAATAGTAACTAGCTAGGTAGTTAGATATAAAAAGCTCTTTAGTCTTTAGTATATAAATAGCAAATTTAGGGCTAGGGGGTTTTATATTTATAAAGGATTTATAATTATTATTATTTATTATTATAAAGTAAAATAGTCTATAAATTGCAAGCTTATAATTACTTAATTTATACCTATATAAATTAGATATTTACTTTTTAAGTACTTAGTTTTTATTTAACTATTAATAGAGGTATTATATTATAAGTTATTTACTAGGCAAAAGCAAGGGCTAGAATTCTCTCCCTTTTTCTTTCATACTAAAATGCATATTAAAAGTAAGCCTTAAAATGCTAATTAATTAATTATTATTATAAAAGATACTATTAAAAAGGTCTAGAATTAGCTAGTAAACTTATAGCTATTTTAGTAGCTATATATTAGAATTATAGAAAAGCATATATAAGAAGTCTATAAGCTATTTAATTATTTTATTAATATAAAGGCAGCTATAAACTGCAATATAGTCTTTACTTAGTAAAGTAGCTATTATCTATTATAGTAAGAGATAATATACAGTCTTAATAGCGCTTTCCTAATAAAGCTATAGCTATAACTTCTTTATCTATATAAGTAGGCTTCTACCTGGTGGCATGAGTTTCTTTATCTTCTAAGTAAGAAGTTACCTGTGCATAACGGCGATAAAGAACCTCAGATCTAGCAATTACATAAACAAGCTGCCTTTACTACATCCTTATCGTCTATCCCAATTTCACTGAAAGAGGAAACCCCTGTTGGTATCTAAGGCTGTGATTGGCCAGAGAGGGACTAGAGTGGAGTGAGGTAGAAAGCCTCTTTTAATCAAAGCGAAGACCATGGGGGTAGTACCGGCGGCAGTATACTTTGTGCGGTAAGCGACATAGCGTCGAAAGGGGTAAGGAAAGAGTTAAGTAAAAGAGGATTGTGTTAATAATGGCGAAGGTGATTAGCAAGAAAGAACAGCTAGCAGCAGAAAAAGAAAGTTAAATAGGAGAGGAGATTTTTCTAAGAGAGAGATACCTAAAGAATAATAAAAGAAAATAGGAAAATACCTAGGAAAAATAAAAATAAAAAGAAATAGTTATAAAATAAAAAAGATTAAGTTATAAAAAGAAAAAACTATAATTATATAAAAAGTATTAACTTATAAGTAATTAATTAAATAGATATTAATATATAAATAGTAATTAAATTATTAAGAAGTAGTAATTAAAGAAAGTTAAAGTAATTAAGTAATTAGTATTATAGTATATATAGTAAGAGTAATTATAATATAAGGACTTATAAGGATATTCTTAAGTTATTTAAGGAGGAATTTAATAAGTAAAAGTTACCTTTTTTAAACTATAGCTTAAGCTTTTAAGTTATACCTTAAAAAGGTTAAGGAAAGTGTATTACTTACTTATCTGTATTGCTTGCTTATTAACTATATTATAAGAAACTTACTATTAATTATTAATTTATTTTAGTAGGAAAGAAATAAGTAAAATAGTATAGACTTAATATAATATATAATTAGTAAGTAGCTAAATAAAGGCTAAAAAGTAAATTAGAAATTAAGAAATTTCTATATTATTAAGTAAACGACTTAGTACTTTACGTTCTTATAACGCAAATCAAAGCCTACAAGCTCTTTTCCTTTTCAACTAGATACACCCGACTCTCAATATGCTCAATGCCAACCAATTTCTCGTGTAAGCCACGATCCTTGAGCCACGACTTGACCATCTTATCGTCCACTGTGTCTGCGTCCCTGATCCAGTCCTCCGTAATGGGCCCAAGAAGTTGCGAAATAGCAGCCCACGCATTTTGAATGAGACTGAGGCTTCCAGCGCGCCGGAATTTCAATGTCACTGATAGAACCAAAACGAGGTGCAACAAGGTCACAACCGCCACGATGATGAAAGCAGTCCAGCCTAGTGGTCGAGTGACTTGGGTTAGAGAGACCTGTAATGATGGGCCGACAGCATCAAACATGGCGATTCTATCGTAATAGCATATGGAGCATAATCTCGTGAGGTATGCTTGAAGAGCAAGCGCTGGGTTCTTTGTGGACATGACCGTATCTTTGAAAATGGAGAATTGGGCGCTGTTAACCATACCCTCATATAACGGGTCCCACCCCACAGTGTAAAGAGCATCCACGGTTTCGAAGTACTCTCCAGATAAGCTTAAACCTTCAGGCTGCGTTTTCCATTTCCATGAGCTTGGTGATAGGTCAAATATGCCACGCTCTACAGTCGTACTATTCGGTCTCAAAGCCCCAAGTTGTTGTAAAACAGCCTTAGTGTTCCATGAAGTTGTCGAGGCGTCCCAGATCAAGAATGGCTCCGGAGGTATGGACGTGGACCTCGTCGCGTTGACTATCATCCTTTGTGCCTGGAATGTAGTCATGCAAAGCGTGATTTGTAGACGCACAGATATGCCTGATGAGTCTGACCTTGTAATAGACTCCCACACGTCGGAGTCATCCAAGTCCCCCACTGCTTCAACCAGCGTTGCGTTGACAATCAGATAAGAGTCACCAGTTTCCTTTTCTCGTCGCGATTGCATGAATGAGTAGATTCCTACGGCATCGGTTAATACACCAGAATATTGAGACGTCCTTTATCAATTGCTCCTACCTTGGAATGAATGCTCCTGGCTGCCATGACACAGTGCAAGCGACCAGTCAGGTTCTGAGTAGTTCCCGCCCGCGGACGCAGCAAAATTGCATTTGAAGGAAATCGAGAAATTCTTGCTACCAAGGTCTTCTTGCTGGACAAGACCCGCCGGCTTCTTGTTGATATTCGCCAGGCCTATTACTTGATAACCCTCGCTAGCAGAGAATTCAACATTTGTGAGTTTTGGACGCATGCAAACCACTCGCGTGTCTAGAACAGTGGCGAATCCATGGTATTTTGTTACGCGACTTCTCTCCTCGTCATTGTTGATTGGGAGAAGCGCTCGCAGCACGGACCCTGTGTCTAAAATGCCGGTAGAATTCTCGGGAGGAAAAGCTTCTTGTTGAGCAGTCGTTTGGGAGGTTGTTGCGTCCGGAGTCCATTCAGCGAAGGCTGGATATCGCGAAGGTGTCAGGTCGAGAAATGATGGAGCGTCACTCGGCATAGCATCATACGTATGCCCATTTGTTTCTATGCCATAGTGGGTCTGTGGGATTGAACTTGCTACTGGAATGGAGGCGATGCCGACTTGTGATAGTAAAACCGTCGAGGTGAATTGCAATGACAGAGTCGTTAATACCAGAAGCGCAGTGAGTAGGCCAATCGATACAGATCCACGGTGCCACTTTGCTTTCATGTTACCCAAAAGCGACCAGGGACCGGTATTATTGAACCTCATGATAGATACAGATGCTGCCACGGGTAATGGGATAGCGCCCCTCTGAAGCAAGATTGCCGCGAGCATAGACGTGCAAGTAGCTGCTTGAGCAGCTGTGGCCCATCTCAGAACAAGAGATGTAATGGTGATAGAACGTGCCGTCCATCCAGCAAGAACAATACTTCGCCAGACACTGTTGTTTTCGTTAGCTCCCCATAGGAAGGCCAGAAACGTCAAGCAGCCCAGACAAACCACAAATAGGAAGGCTAGAACAGTGGTCGAGACTCTTCCCAGCTGTGACATTAAACTGGATCGGCCCGGGGTAGAAGGATTACCGTCCATGATACACAGACAATTGATTGACAAGCTCCTATTTATGCGCAATCTTATCTTAGGCACGCATTTGCGACGAGGTGGTAGGTATATTGAGCTATTAGAACATGATGGGAAGACGGGAATAAAATAGAGTACAGTGCAAGCTATGGTAATACATGCTTCAAGTCTAGTCTCCGTTATCAAACGGGCTTGGCATCAGCTTTACGTGTTATGTTATAGTGGCAGCGGCAGGGCGCAGTCGAATGTGTTCTAGCCACAGCCACAACGCCGCCCATTCAGCCTTTGGCTTAGAACTCGCAACCAATAATGATAGAGTAGTCAAGGGTTGGAATGCAAGTAGATTACTGAGACTATTCAAACGCCTCGAAATTGCATTTATATTTTAGCCTAATTAGTAAAACTATCTACTTACTTAGTTAAATATAGAAATGTCTTAGGCCAGCAAGCTAATAAATAGCTTATTGCTACAGGCTTTATATTAGCTAATAAAACGCCTAGGCCCTAACCTAACCCTAGTAACTAATAACTAAATTAACTCTAATAAAGTTAATTTTAGTAATCTATTTTAAACCTAGTTGCCTAGTCGCCTAGTTTTATAGTCTAAAATTAATTATTATATAATTAATTTAATTTACCTTACTTTATAAGAGGTAGAATTAATTTTTAATTAAGTATAAAATTAAATTTTAAAAAATAAATTAGTATTAAGGTAAACTTAATTTTAATAGGGAATTAACTTAAATTTCTAATTAATATTTAGTAATATATTAAGTTCTAATTTTAGCTTATTAATACCTTTTATAATAAATATAATAGCTAGCTAGTAATTATTATTAATTTTATTAAGAAATAATTTATTAACTTATAATATTTAACCTTATAATAAAGCATAGCCCTTTTAACCTTATATACCTATTTATACTTTTATTTAAGTATTAGATTTTTATTTATTAGGAATACTAATATACTTACTTAGCTAGAGAAGTTATTACTTATCTTACCAAAAGGCATCTTATATCCCTATTATCTGTCTTATTTTTAGTAAAAGAGGAAATTTACTATTACTTATTAGCTTACACCCCTGCTAGTTCCTCTTTTACTGAAAATGTAATAGTGCTTTAAATTCCCTACCTGTTTTTTTTTATTAAAAGTGCTTTAAAAACCTTCTTATTAGGTAGTTTATTCCTTTATTAAAACCTTTGCAAATAGCTTTACTTTAGTAATATATAGCCATACTACCTTATAGCTACTTATATATAAATTAATATTTTAATTATATATATTTTATAACTGCATTTTAGATATATAGAAAGCTCTTTACTATTTAATTTTTATTTTTATAAATCCCTTATTTTTATTATATAATATATTAAATTTTCTAGTAACCCTAATAATCTTTAAATATATAGCCTCTAGAGTTTTGTTATAATCCTTACAGTTATGTTATATAAAACTTATAAATTTTCCCTAATTAATTAACAACTTATGCTTTCTCCTTATTTCTATTATAAGCCACTTAACAGGACTTATAATTAGACTTATAGCTTATATATAAGTACTAACTTATTATAGCAAGTTACTATAAGTATATAGAATATATTTATTAGTACTTTTATAGATTCTAGCTTACTAGCTATTAAT